ATGGGTATGGTGCTGACCGGCCAAGAAGATCCAGTTGAACCAGGATTTGAACCCACATTCGAACATAACAGAGGCAAACAGGAACTCTAGCTCAAGAACATATGTTTCTGGTATTCCCAAAGGAAGCACATTTGCACAGCTGATTCTGGTGCTTTGGACCATTTTGCATAAAACCATAAACCAACTGTATAGCACTGTAGCTGACCTTTATATGTAGACAACACTAGAATCATAAGGAAAAACCAATATGCACTGAGAAAATTTAAGAGCATGGTCAAAGCAGAGTCAAAATACAAAAACATTGTGAAAAAAAACAACAAAACAATTTATCCTACAAATAGCCAATTACATACCAAATGTTAGAACAGTTTTTTACAAATATGGGACCAAGAAACACAGACAAAAAGCTTTTTCAATATGGTGGCTTCAGGGGCCATCTTGAAAATTGGATTCAACCCACTTGGAAAAGGTGTAGTTCTTTTAAGTGGAAACAAGCATGAAAAGTTTCAGCTTGTCCACTGTCTTGTGAAGAGAAGATGTCAACAGACGCCGACGGACACAAGAATAGCAGACCATGAGAAAAGCTCACTTCTTCAAGTATTGACTATTGATATATTTTTAAACATGGCTGCTGTTGCTGGCAATATTGAAAATTGGAATGAGTTTCAAACAAATTTCAGAATAAACTGATCTGCAGCGCTTGTGACTCTGACGGAAAGTTAATTGTTGTATGCTTCACAGAAGTAGTAAGTCTTTAGCTGTGATTTGAATGGGTCCAGGTCGTGGTTAGATCTCAGATATTGTGGGAGTTCATTCATTCATTTTAGCAATATTCTAGCAATATTATGGCGGGGGACACCAGAAATGGGCTTCACACATTGTACCCATGTGGGGAGTAGAACCCGGGTCTTCAGCTGACACTTTGACCATTAGGCCACGCACACACGCACGCACGCACGCACGCACATCCTCTAACCATGACCTGCACAGGAGGCAGCTAATTCACACTGATGCATGTCACTGTATCCTGAAAACATGGATGGATGTTCATGATCTCAATCACTGGATCGTCTGGTCTAACCCTTATCTATAAATGGCCATCATGTAGCTGGAATACTGCTGTGTTTAACAACAAACTTACTTGTTTCAAGTAATGCCAGCTAAAGATATGTCCAAACAATTTAACACCTGTACAAGAATACATTTAATGTAAGATATAAAAAAACACAATCGTTCCATGGTAACAAGCACAATAAATATCAACCAAAAGCAAACATCCACTTGACCTGCTTCCTGCCCCAGGTGAAAGTACAATGCGCTGTCCTGTTAATGCTGTTATTGCATGGTCTGAGAAGAAATCAGATTATTATCGCCTCAGGGGATATCATTTCTATCTACTCAGCATGAAAAAGACCAAATCTCCCGATAGGGTCATTAAGTCTACAGGTTTGCCCCAGTTCCAAAACAAGGACATTTTTTAAACAGAGACAACTGAGACACTCTGAAGCTCTCCTGAATTTTTAAAAATATGCAAAAGATAACATTTCTTTCAATTCATAATTTTGGGATTTTTTATGCCAATTCAGCAATATTAAAACTATATGCTGGTGATTGTAAATAAGAGTTAATAAGTGAGTGAGTTTAGTTTTATGCCACACTCAGCAACACTCCAGCTAAATGGTGGCAGTCTGTAAATAATCGAGTCTGGACCAGACAATCCAGTGATCAACAGCATGATCATCGATCTACGCAATGGGGAATCGATGACATGTGTCAACCAAGTCTTACGACAAGCATGGGTTACTGAAGATCAATATTCTAACCCGGATCTTCACGGGTTTGTAAATAAGAAAGTTTGTACCAGGCTCAATGGGTCTGAAATTATAAATAAAAATCTAAAGATGTTATGGGAATCAGCCACTTTACAGAACTTGACCAATCATTTCATTAAGCCTAACAACCTTCACAGGTTCAGACCCAGAATCAAAAGTGAATGCTAATTTGTTTCATCAAAATATAAAACATGTATGATAGTGAATAACAAGACTCGATTATCAGAGATTTTATTGTGGATAAATGGCAAAATTGAGGTGAAAATTATTCAAATGGATTAATAAAAATCAGTGATGGAACCAGGTGTTCACAAAAAGGGTAATTATGTCATGTGGTACTGCCAGTACCTGCCATTCCCTTATTGTGCAAAAATATTTTTCTTTAAAACAAGCCCAATATTTTCGAAAAGCCACATCCACAAGTCTGTCGTCCACCGTCACGAGGTAACTGGGTCACAGCCAGTCAAAATCTCCTTATTACTTAATTAGCGTTATTATGCATACTACAATAATTACAACGACTTGGACGGCATTGTCTGAGAAAGGGATTCTCAGGAAGCAATTTCCAGAGACTCTGCAAACAGACATGATGGTGCCAAATAAAGACCTGGAATCTCCTTGGCAAGCCACTGATTCCAATTTCATTGTTATAAGCTAGCAACCATAGGATATCTAGGTATTGACAGGCTATCAATTCCTCACTCAAATTACCTACCTGATCCGTCCATTGCAGACATTCAGTGTCAAAATGTCAGCCATTTTTACGTCTTTTTAAGCCATTATTCAAATGTTTGGCATGGAATGCCAGAAATAGCACGATGCTGGACCTGCTACACGGCCAATGGTTCTGACATGCCACCTCTCTTGAAAGATGGTTTACCCGTGAAGACCCAGGTTAGAATTGATCTTCAGTAACCCATGCTTGTCGTAAGAGTCGACTAATGGGATCAGGTGGTCATGCTCGCTGACACATCCTATCCCAATTACGCAGATTGATGCTAATGCTGTTGATCACTGGATTGTCTGTTCCAGACTCCTTATTTACAGACCACTGCCATATAGCTGGAATATTGCTGAGTGCGGAATAAAGCTAAACTCACTCACTCACTCACATAAAGATGGTTTCTTTGTCCAATTCTGATCTGGTTAACGTGTGAGAACATTCCAATCTTAGAAACAAAGACTTTTCCTAGTTAGCATGTCACAGTCCTAAACGATGAAAGCCTGTATTTTCAACAGGTTCAGGATCTGATTATTCCATCTGACTGTGGGGCTTTTCAGTATAAATGATAGTTTGTTGATTAACACTCCACTCAGCAATGTTACAGCTATATGGTGGCAGCCTATAAATGATTGAGACTGGACCAGACAATCCAGTGATCAACAGCATGAGCATCAATCCACGCAATCGAGATATGATGATGTGTCAACCAAAACCACCTGAACCTGTTAGATGCCTCTTACAAAAGCATCAATGCTGAAGACCAATACCTGGATCTTCATGGGTTTTCATAGACTATAAGAATTGCAATCTAACTAACTAATAAACATAAAATACTCTGGATCTAATCAAAACATCATACCAACTCTGTGTTTTCATAGAACATCTATCATTAAAATATTGGTTCACTATTTGTCCTTTCCTTGAGACTGCACAAAGGTTCATCCTTTGTCTGTGAACGTGTTTCTCGAACACCTGGCTGTCCCTTTCTCTGCACTCCTCCTTCGTAACAAACAGTGAACTGTGTCAATATTTTAATGATAGTTTGTTAAACAACTTTATTATTTTTAGGACAAAAATTCTGCAAAAACCTCAAAGAGTTGGTATGATGTTTTGATTATGATCAGCGTTTCATTGAGTATGTTATGTTTATTAGTTTTCGAGTAAAATTGCAATTCATCGGTCCGCTTTTGAGCCAAATGGACTGTAATGCTTAGTCTCTGATTATAATAATTTTGACAGTAACAAATAAATCCATTTAAATTGAAAAGGAGCCCCAGTCAGATGGGAAATTCAGACTGAGAGAATCACTACCCTGGCAACCATTTTGGGTTGAAAACATTGGTTGGCTTGTTGTTTAATGCTGCACTCAGGTAATCAGGTAAATTTGGTGTGGCCAGTGTTTAACACCCCACTCTAGCTATATGATGGCAGTCTGTAAATAAACAACTCTGGACCAGACAATCCAGTGATCAACAACATGAGCATCAATCTACGTGACTGGGATACGATGATACGTGTCAACCAAGTCAGCGAGCCTGACCACCCGATCCCGTTCGTTGCCTCTTACAACGAGCATCTGTTACTGAAGATCAATTCTAACCTGGATCTCCATGGGTTGAAGAAAAGATACAGAAACACAAGATTGGGCATGCTGCTGACAACCTTAGTCGTATTCAGAACAACCAGGATTCAGACCTACATTCATAGATTTCTAGCATGCTCAAGGGAAGCAACTGTGCTCATCAATTGCCACACCTGAGACAAGCGGCCCATCATTGCCCTCCAGCAAAGTGATGAAGATGTACAAGGACTCAGATCAGGGATGACCAAGAGTGATGTTACTCTGTCAATAAGGACCTGCTTACTGTCATCTGGTCATAGTTAACTGGAAACAACACAAGGTGTATCTGTCAGTGTGCTGCTTGCAACATTCCGGTTACCATCCCCCTTTCAACTGCATTTAAGCCAGGCATTGTTTCTCAGCTGGATCTCTACCACCCACTATGACTGGAGCACATACCAAGTTCTACTGTTGTCTCAATGTGAAAACACAACACAGCATGACATTGTTGCCTAAGACACATTGTGCACATTATCTGCCTTCTATTCATTATCTGCTTGATGTCCAAGATCATACTGCCAAATCCCAATGCTGAAAGGCCCGAAAAACACTTATTTACCTTCAAAATTTCTTTCACAACCGATCGCCTCCGTGGTGTAGTGGTTAGAGCGTCCGCACGGAGAGCGGAAGGTCTCGGGTTCAATCCCCGAACGCGTCATACCAAAAGACGTTAAAATATGGTACTTGTTGGTCCCTGCCTGGCGCTCGGCATTAATGGGTACAACAAGGACTGGTCGGCTCGGAGTCAGTATAATGTGTCTGAGTGGGGTATTCATGCTTCACTACGGCATGGTATCTCAGTGGGTTAGCACTATAAAACCAGCTTAAGTCTGGGCTAGTACAAACAGCCACACATACACATACACATGCATGCACGTCGTCATATGAGCGAAATATTCTCAAGTACGACGTTACACTCAATTTCACCTCACCTCACCAAGTGTGTAGATCGATGCTCAAGTTGATCACTGGATTGTCTGGTCCAGACTTGATTAATTACAGGCCGCCGCCATAAACTGGAATATTGCTCAATGAGGCATGAAAACTTAACTCGCTCACTCCTTTGGTTGATACTTGACTTCCCGGATACAGACTATAGAGCATCCCAACTGTCTCTGGATATAGACACTAGACTATGGCTCTTGCCGGCGTTATACGAGTTATACGGCTTACGACCCCGGGAGCGTGCCGCAACCACTGCCACTGCCATTGAGCTTTCGCGGCTACGACCCCACCATGCGGGCAAAAAATGATTGCCGTCCGTCGACCTTGTCGACATCTGTGTCAACCTGATCCGAGACGTATCCCGTGATGCCAGCCCACCGACCAGCAGTGGCAAATCTGCTGGTGGACAGCCGTTAAGCCTGTGTCTCCCGTAGCCGTTAATTTGGCGGCCGTAAGGGAATACACCCCTTGAGGATCAGGCTCCGAGAGATCCGGGAAAATAGGGATGATCGGTGGATTTTCCAATTCAATAAGAGGGTCTCTGGCCGGTAGGTCGGTGGCTGGAAGATCCGCATGGCTGAGGGATCCCTTGGGTCCCCAGCATAGGGGGGTGGCGGGACGGGAAGGTCCGAAGTCATGGAACCATGCCTGACGCCAGTATGAACCAGTCCGACAGACCTCGACCCCGTGGTCTCGTCTGGGGGGTTGGATGGATAGCCCACTGTGTCTGTGTTTGTCCCGTTGACGCCAACAGAATAACAGACTGAGTAGCCGTGGCCATGGGACGATAGCCATTGGGAACACGGACTACATGGAAAATTGGTGAAGCTGAACGGGTACTTGAGCAGCGGGAAGAGCTGTGGAGACAGTAAACGAACCGTGGCTACCTCAGGAGGGTAACAGAGTGCTGTGGACTCGAGTACCCAAAGTGTGTTATATTTTTTGTAGATGAATACGGGGTGTCCCCTTTAATCCAATCATCTTGAAAGTTATATACACAATGAACATCGTTATAAAAAGTGCAGGGAGGACCCTTGAAGCATGAGGCACATAGAAAAAAAGGGATCCAAATCAGCCAAGAAAGTTTGACATACAAACACGTGCAGATACGGGCTTGTGACATTATGATTTTTGGCGGGAAAAGTAGAGTTCAATAAAGTAGAAAAAACACAAGCAATATGTACAAAGTATAGAATGCGATGGTCAGAAACATCAACCACTACTGACTGGGAGTCTTGTAGTTCTTTGAAAATTCGAAGAAAGTCTTGAAAACATTTCCACTCTGTAAACACGTCTTCTGTGTTGTCCATACAGAAAAATTATGAGAGGTTTTCAACAACTATGCTGTGACGTCACAGCTAAGGGAGATAACTGCATAACTCTTTTAGCATACCACTAGAGATAGCTATGACTTAGTTAAAATTTTCATTTCCATTCTGTATGTGTCTGTGGCATCCACAGGAATAAGGCAACCATAATCCAGAGTGAATTTTTACGCCTATAATTACTATGTTTTATTCAAAGAACAATTCTGTGTTGAATTGATCAATGACAAAGTATTTAACTGCTACATACCTAAAAACTCGAAGCCATTATATTTTTTCTGAACAAAAAGCAGCACTATATTTCATTGCAGATTATACCAATTTATCTTCCTTTGATTACAAAAAAAACCCTACGCCTACTGGCAGGAACGTCCTGGTGAATGAAAAATGTTATGTTTCACAAAAACCAACACCTCATCGTCACCTTTCTTCAATTCCATCACTGTCTGCAGAAATGTTCTGTGTTTTTCATCATGATCTGTTCAAAGTTCTCATTTTCATTTGACACATTTTCATGTATATACAATGAGCAACAATATGTTACTAAATACACAAAAGTATTTAAAAAAAAGGTCTTCATCCATGTATAAACTTGGTGACACTAAACACTTTCAACAATCGTAAGAAATCTCTATCATCTATTGAACGATTCCAACCATGTCATCAGCATGTGTTCAATAATCCACAATCATAAGAAATCTCTATCATCTATTGAAGATTCCAACCACGTCATCAGCATGTGTTCAATAATCCACAATCATAAGAAATCTCTATCATCTATTGAAGATTCCAACCACGTCATCAGCATGTGTTCAATAATCCACAATCATAAGATATCTCTATCATCTATTGAACGATTCCAACCATGTCATCAGCATGTGTTCAATAATCCACAATCATAAGAAATCTCTATCATCTATTGAACGATTCCAACCATGTCATCAGCATGTGTTCAATAATCCACAATCATAAGAAATCTCTATCATCTATTGAACGATTCCAACCATGTCATCAGCATGTGTTCAATAATCCACAATCATAAGAAATCTCTATCTTCTATCAAACTATTCCAAACATGTCATCAGCATGTGTTCAATAATCCACAATCATAAGAAATCTCTATCATCTATTGAACGATTCCAACCATGTCATCAGCATGTGTTCAATAATCCACAATCATAAGATATCTCTATCATCTATTGAAGATTCCAACCATGTCATCAGCATGTGTTCAATAATCCACAATCATAAGAAATCTCTATCGTCTGTTAAACTAACTAGCCATGTCATCAGCATTGTTCAATAATCCACAATCATAAGAAATCTCTATCGTCTGTTAAACTAACCAGCCATGTCATCAGCATTGTTCAATAATCCACAATCATACGAAATCTCTATTGTCTATTAAACTATTCCAAACATGTCATCAGCATGTGTTCAATAATCCACAGTCATAAGAAATCTCTATTGTCTATTAAACTATTCCAAACATGTCGTCGGCATGTGTTCAATAATCCACAATCATAAGAAATGTCTATCGTCTGTTAAACTAAGCTAATAAACTAGCCATGTCATCAGCATTGTTCAATATTCCACAATCATAAGAAATCTCTATTGTCTATTAAACTATTCCAACCATGTCATTAGCATGTGTTCAATAATCACTAAGAAAATGTAACAACACCAGGTGTTCACGAAATCTGTCAATCGTGTCCCACTGTGACAAACAAGTTACAATTGTTTCAGAGATCATTTTGTCACAGATGCATCAAATTTGGAAAAGTCCTCCACCAGTCTACCACAAAACATCTTGAAAGATGTTCATTCTGGGCGTGAGTTCAGCAATGTCAGTGAACTCATGGCAAAAATTCAGGTCTCCAGACGAAGAATTCAAATCTTTATTTCTTGGTTCATGTTCACAATTTCACATTTCTACACTTCTACACAAACCTACTTGCAAGTTACTAAGAGCTAAAAATTAGGAAAGATGACAAATATAAAATATTTGCTTACTTTGGCAACATGAAGGAAGGTTCGTGTCAGGCAGAAACCTTTTTTTTCAAACAATTATAACTAATTGGCCTTTCTTAATTTTTCTGCGCTCACTTTGACTAAAATTCATGATAATAGACAATCTGCTATCAAGATAAAAAGACCAAAGTGATGGTCTATGTGTTGTAAGAGGAATATATTTTGACTTGCAGGTGCCTCAACCAAGATTCTAGTGTCTCTCCAATGGAGCCTGCATCCTCTCCATACGATGATCAACTTCCTCCTCCTCCAAACAAGATTTCACCAATCAGATCGCAAGGTTTTTAATGCTGTTTATTTAGACCAGCATTTCGAAATCGGCGAGCACAGGTGTCTGTGTTTAGATTGTATAATGTTATTCAGTGAACAAACAACATTTTAGTTGTATTTTATAAGTTGTTTTTTCAAGATAATAGCCCAAAAGATATTGTTTCTGACATTAAGTTTCGCCAAATAGAGAAAAAAAATGTTTGCAATCGTCATATAAGAGGTTTGATGTTTTAATGAAATTACAAAAAATCAAACAAGAAAACCCATTAAAACTACAATGTTGGTAATCTGAAGCAATGTAGGCAAGGTGACCTCTCTGTGGCAGACATGGTACTTTCAAAATGATCAACATAGGCAAAAATTAATCCCACCTTTTGACATTTGTAATTCAGGTTTCCCGTTCTTGATATAGCATTGTTGTCTCTTGTATAGTTCATTTGCTTCTAAATACCACACTTTTGAAAAATCATCTAATCATCAAACTTTTCAGATCCCACAAACAGAAATATTTAATGACAAAGACACTGATTTACTGTCTGTGGCCTGAAGACAGCAAGGGTTGATCTCAACAAGGATATACTTCAAATGGACATACCCAGTCCTTGAAAGATTATCACTCAACTGGTAGCGATCATGTAAATGTTAGGGACAATTCCTGAAGGCTGGGTGGTTTTGGGAATGGTGTGGGGTGTGGGGTGTGGAGAATGAGGTTGTGAACATGGGATGTAGGGTGAGGGGGGTCTTGGATCAGCAGTAAGGGGTGAAGGATGTGGGATGCTGAATGTGGGGTGATGGGTAAAGGGTGCTGAATGTGGGATGCTGAATGTGGGGTGATGGGTAAAGGGTGCTGAATGATGGGTGATGGGTAAAGGGTGCTGAATGTGGGGTGATGGGTAAAGGGTGCTGAATGTGGGATGCTGAATGTGGGGTGATGGGTAAAGGGTGCTGAATGTGGGGTGATGGGTGCTAACTTTGATATGTACAAATTATTGATTATCTGTGCCCATTTGCCTGACATACAATGAGCTCAAAACTTCTTCAAAGGAATAGGCATAGGCGTCTTCAAGTTGGTGTAGTAATACAAGACAAATATTATGGATAACAACTTCTTGATATATTTTTCACAACATTTCTGAGCTAGTTCTTTCCCCTTCTTCAGGTGGATAATGAGTTTCTCACTAACTTCAGATAAAGGCTACCAGCTCCAAGAACAACTTGGCAGAAAGAGATAGAGCTATAACTCGGAGACAGGCAGACAGCGGCACTGCACACAAGATACATTCATCGCTACATTCCAACTACACAAGACTAACTGAGCACAAAGGTGTGGTCCTGTGTGTAGAGCTCAGGTCACGAATCAGTTGAAGTTAAGCAAAATAAACCTCACAGAGTCCTTGGATTGGTGACCATGTTTGGCAGCTTGACTCATGAGAGTTTCTAGGACTTCAGTCCTGCCCCACAACGAAGCACATGTGATACATTTGGTCTCACTTTAGGCAAGTGAGTTTGTTGAAAATTGCCTGTGTTCACCCAGCAGAAAATGGGTACCCAGTGAGATAAGTCATGTGACTTTTTAATTAACCATCTAGCGCCTCACAGGCAGCTTGGGTTATCTGGGGTAATTATAATCAGTTTGTGATTACAGCGTCCAGTGAGCAACTAGTCAGATGGATACTAGGTCCTATAAAAATGAATTATTATTATTAACAGAACCAAGGTGGTGACACATGATGTTTCATGTTACATTCATGATTATTGCACATTTTACTGATAACAAACCAATGTATGTCTTACTTTGTTTAATAAATTATCATAATATACTCATGGAAACTAATAAGGGAACACATGAAAGTACAAGGGTTCCCTTATTCTTTTCCAGAATTTCACCCACAGTGCAATACAAAGCTTGTGAAGAAACCTCGAAAAGAATAAAGGAACACTTGCACTTTCATGAAATTCCATGAGTATATATAGAGGGGAAAAAATAAAGGAACACCACTTCATGGCAGTGTTCCTTTATTTATTCTCAGATTTCCGCCCACAGTGCTATTCAAAGCTGGTGATGTAAACTGGAAAATATTAAAGGAACGTTTAAATTGTCCTGTGTTCCTTTATTTGTTTCTTTCAGTATACTTTTATCTTTATTATTAATTGATGAAATGTGATAAAACCAAAACTGTCTGTTGTGGTTTCACAATGTTTGAGTTGGGTTTAATTCTGTTTTTAACTGTACTTCATTCTTATAGGTGTGTAAGCTGAACACAAGAAGAAAGCCCCAAGTGATGCTTGTGTCGCACAGATCCTGACAAACCAATTTCTGACTGACTATGGTTATATGCCACTTTTAGCAATATCACGGCGGGGGGGCACCAGAAATGGGCTTCACACATTGTGCCCATGTGGGGAATCGAACCACAGTCATGTCTGTGTCTTGCATGCAAAACTCTTCACAAGGGCTTCCAAATGAAATTTAGAACATTCCATATTTTACCTGAGAAGCTGCAGAACATGTAAAGATAGACAGTGATTTAAGATTAATGGTAAAACAGTCCAAGGTTAGTGAGTGAGTGAGCAATATTCCAGCTATATGGC